GATTTAGTGGGTCCCCTGTGTAAACTGGAGCAGCATCACAGCCATATAAACCTATGCCCAGGTGTGTGTCCTCAGTCTTAAGCGGTTGTCAGAAATAACTACTGCATAGCAGTGATCCTGCCACACCCCCTTTCACTGGCTACATGCTCCCATACAGGGACTGCTATAATAAAGGTGCTGAGACCTGCTGCCTGGTTCTATGCTACCCAGTGATTTACTTCTGTGCCAGATGAATTCTCAGGGGGCAGGTTCACTAATTTCATAGACTTTTTTGCATTGGTGGAGTGGTTCAAAGGGGCACAATGGAGAACTGGGCACAATGTCTTTTGACCCTGACAAGAAACTCTTAAGAGTAAGAAAAACAGAATAAACCTTTTCCTACATCCCTCCTGCCTGACTTGCTACTCCAGATTTAAAGAAATGATGCATTTTCTCACATAGAATATATATGATAAAGGCAGAGCTGACAAATTAAGAAGAGATGGTAGAAGCTGGGTTAGTGGAGTTTGAAGTGCTAGAGTTATAAATGGATCAGTGGGTTCTGGAGAAGAAAGGTTGGGTGGGAGAGAGGGAAGAATATACAGCCTGGGAGGGCATTGGATGATGTGGAAAGGGATGGGATTGAATACGAGAAGAGATGAAGAAGTGGTCTGGGAATATTGTGAAACCATAGCATGGATAACTCTCCGTGGACTCCTAACTCCCTGGAATCCTAACTCTCTATCCATCCCCAATTATTTAGCACTTTGAACCCCATCAAGGTCTTTTGTTCAAAGCTCTCGTCTCTGGGGTGATCCTAGCCCTAGTAAATATGAGCTGGTGGATGATACGACTGAAAGGAAGTGAGGGACTTGCACTGAAGATATAGTTCTGAAAGCAACTTCAACAGGTTCATGCCTGAAGCTTCCTAAATGGGGGCTCTCAGGCAAGCCCAAGATTGCCTGCCTTGCTCTGCCTGTGGTGACCTGTCCATACTCCTGGGACACAGGAGGTCTTTAGTTGAGACCTCTCAGAGTTGACTCCTTTACTGACTGGAAAAATCTGATTTAATTGATTAGTCATCAAGGGCGAGCAAGTTCTCTCTCCAATTTAGAGAGGATGGGCACTCCTTTACTGACTGGAAAAAGCTGATTTAATTGATTAGTCATCAAGGGTGAGCAAGTTCTCTCTCCAATTTAGAGAGACTAGAGCCTATTCTGAGCACCGACTTCCCTTTCTGGGCACTTCTGCTTTTCTCCTGACGGCCTGCATTTGGTCACTCTCAATAGAGGAGGAAAAGAAACAAAAGACATGGCCATCATTCTCGGGAACAGATGCAAAAACCTGTTTCTTGTTCTTTTGCAGCTCCGTGTGTCCTCCTGTGAGCAGCACACGCATCCCACAGAGAGAGAGAGAGGGAGAAAGCTAGTTCCTGGTTTAAAGCTCCTTTATGGTCAACCCATTTCACCTGTCTCACTTGGTTTTATCTCAGGAAAACTTTAGATTTTTCCTGAGCTCCTATCCTACTGTAAATCTTTGATAGCCTTAACATCTCTGACCTCTGATTCCTTTGGGTGTCACTTGGCCCTGGTCTCTGAAAGGCACTATTTCATATAGAATTTGTACACTTAAAGCTTACGTCATAGAAAGCATTAGGTAAAATCCGTCACTCATACTTTGAAAGGAAAAGCATGGCTCTTTATGAGACTGCTAATAATATTCAGCTGTGATAGGGTTAAAAGGCAACATCCATTTCCCCATTATCTTGTTTAAAAAGTGCCTTTTTTAAAGTCCATATGGCGACTTCCTTTCGACCTGCTTTCCCATCCTCGTCTCTTTGTCAGGGCTGTCACTTATAAAGAATCACTTGACTTACAATAACAAGTTCAAAAGAAGACAGAATATAATCAGTTGATCCACGAAGAATTGAAATAAAGAACACCCCCACTGCTCCAGTTATCATTCCCATAGAGATAGTGATATTATTGATGTGATTGCTATGCTAATTTCTATAGAAAAAAACTTGTATTTTGGAATTTGTTCAAAGAGAATTTCAGACACATCAAATTGGAAAATGCAGCAAGAATTCTTAAACTTTTTAGTATAGGCATGGGAATTTTTTAAAGATTGAATAGTTGTGGACAACTATTCATAAACTCCACTTTAAAAATGTCAGTTGGGGGAAAATAGCTATTTTTCAGTTATTTTAGAAAGTTATTTTATTGCAGTTGTAACAAAAGTCTTACTTTACCTATAGCATTAGTAATACAACCTCAATAACCTAAAGAGCCAGGTTTGCACCAAATAATCCAGAAACAGAGACTGGGGATTACAAATGATGGGTACATTTAGGTCCAGTGTTTAGGAAGAGCTAATTAATAAATCCTCTTCCTCTGCAATTCCATAGTCTCCTTGGGAATTGCCACAAACATAAACTTTTTTTTCCCTTGGACTTCTATTTTAACTAGATGGATTCTGCTTGTGATGTTTTGCTTTTTATGTAGTAAACTGATTTAAAATGTATGCCAGTCATCTTCAGGGAACTCATTTCAGTCAAGATGAAACTAGTCTTACCTGAATCAATGTTTTAAGTGTCCCTGTGGCTCAGCATTTTGAATAATCAATCTGTCTCCATCGCTTCTTAATCATGCGCATCACAGTCTTTTTTATTTGTCAACCCTTTCGGATCTTGCCTTTTTGTTATTAACATGCCCCTAATGTCACATGCAAGCCATTCTTTAAAACAAGCTGCTCATTGGTGTATTTTGATACTTTTTATTATTACTAAATCTTTTTTCCCATAATTACACCACAATCATTATATAATCCCATAACAAAGAGTCTATTGAGGCACCATGCTTTTGTCAACTATGGGACACAGAATCCATAATTGCATTATTTACCTTTTCCCCCCCCCCACCCCCCGCACTCCACCCGTCTATCAATCCCCATATCCCCTTGGCTTTGTAGAAACATAACCTATTTCACCAGTCGCATTTGCACCTTGTTTGCTTGGATATATATTATTTACTAAATCGTTGCCCTGCGGATAAACCTAGTAAAGTTGCTTTAAAAAAGTTATTTGTTTGATAATTAAGTCCTGAAAACCCATCTTTTAATGATTATTCCGAACCCATAAGGCAGAGAACCTCCATGACGTTTTTCTCTAAGTTTAATTACCGTATGCTAATTTCCTTGCCTACTACGTGATTAATTAAAATCATATTTTCATAATCATTTGGCACTAGTATTGTTTTAGAATTATCATGATCCCCTAAATAGTGTATGTAAATAAAGTCGGCTCTAATGGAAAGAATCAAAATGCAACGCTGAAGACCTTTATGTGTTTGTATGCATGCGATTGGCAACATAACTGGCTTATTTACATTAAATACGCCACAAGGTTACAGTGCAGATCAACGTCACTTTATCGCTGATTACTTCTCTTAAACGCCGGAGCTGTGACTGATGCTCCGGTCCCGTTGTCCACCAAGATTTACCCTGGAGTTTTTAAAAGAAACAGACTTGAAATAGTTTCAGGAGCAGGTAAGAACGACGCTTTAAAAAAAACCCGGTAATCTCTTCGCGGTTGATAAAAAATTGGTTCGGAAAAGGAAGGAATCGAAGTAACGCCGTTGATCTATGTCTGAATAACAAGTCTGACAATCAGAATGTGTTCTTAGAGAATAGATAGATTTTAATAAGTGTGTTTACATGAGCTCAAGGTCAAGACCAAGCTGCGCTGTGTTAAATGGTTTCTTAGTTGCTAGACAGAGAGAAAAAATGGACGATCACAGACCATTCTTTGTAGATTATTATATCAAGGGTTCAGCTTTTGGCTCATCAAAGCTAAATGCCGCAAGACCTATCTAGTTGCTGTGAATTATGCCAAGACGACAATGGAGTGCTTTTTTAATGGTACAATGCATTTCACCTACCAGATAGGGGGAGTCCAAGCTGAAAGATGGGAATGTCTTGTGATGTTGGGTGATCAGTATCAATGAAGGGGGTTATTCTGAAAAGAGACAGATTAAAATAAAGCGCTCTTTACTCGGGATGTGTGGCAAACAGTTAGGAGGGCTAGCCACAGTGGGCAATTGTGACAGCTCCGCGCTCCACTTTTCCCCCTCAGCCCAAGAAAATGATCAAGTCAATCATGTGGACATGCTTCATTATTCATTGAACACAATCTTTTACAACGCTTCGTTTACGTGCCGGAGTTTCTTCTACGCTTTGCTTTAAATTGTAAGGTAAGAAAGACAAAGGTAAAAAGGGGGGGTTTCAGGCTCCGGGCGGCTCCCGGGAGCGATGAAAGCGGCTCCAAAGTCAGTTTGGACTATTTTTTTTATTTCTTTTTAATCATCGCAACGGGGCCTGCGTTTTCCACCGTGATTAAAAAATACAGTATAATTAAATATCCATAGCAGTGACGTTTGCAAGCAGGGCTGTCAGGGGAAAAGCAGAAAAGAATGAAAGGAGCCGAGAAGCCATTGAATGGCGCTATAGAACTTAGCCTGAAGAAAACCCTCCGGTTTGCCCCCTCTTTCTCTCGCGTTTCTTTTTTAAAAACCGTTACTTAAAATAAAGAGAGAGAAGAGACAGGAGTTTGCTTGGTGTGTGATAACGTGGGTCGGGCAGGAGCAAGTTAGCTCCCCGCAGCTCTGAGAAATCCTGCCGTTAAGTTGCCCTGAAACTTTTTTGTTTTAAAGGGTTGTAGCGGAGTAAAACTTTGCTGAAGTGACTTTAAACGTGTCCTCCCGCCCCCTCCTTGCAGGATCCCGGCTACCCGGAGTGTAATTTGTAAACTCCCTCCTTTTTTTTTAATCAAAGTTAGCTGATGCATACCATGTGTCAAACTTGTGAGACTCAAGTGCCTAAGAGACCTGCCATTTTGTGCTCTAATCGACCTCTTATGAATAGGAGCCGTGCATAATGCTTTGAGGAACGTTATGACATTCAAGTGTGCACTAAATGTCAGCTCAGGTTTAAAACCTTTTAGCAAGGTAAAAGAGCATGCCTGGAAACCCTGCAGAAGGCGCAGGGAAGCACCTGTCAGCCAGAAATCCAGGGCATTTTTAATGTAGAGGGAAAAGTAACAGGTTAAAGAGGAAACTTAAATGGCAATTCCAGGAGATAAGAGAAGCGACATTCGAGGAACTGGGCTCTGTCAAGGCTTCAGCGTTCATTTTGGAGGGGTGGAGGGGCTATCTTTTAAAAAGTGTTGCGATGGAGTGACTGGTAGTCTCTTCGTTTTTAGCACACCGGGGCGGCACTGATCTTTACTGCTCTGAGAATGATTTTGCAGGGATGAAGTGCTGAGGAGAACAGCCGTAGGCGGGGGCACAGGATCTGTTTCGAGATTTGAAATAAAAGGACATTCTTTGATGTGTAGGAAAGAATCTAGATGTTAAGGCGCCCATCTGTTGCAGTTTTGCAAATAATTAATATCTGTATGCATATGTATATGAGGAAAGGTTGAAAGAAACAGGGATGCTTGAGAACTTAAAAAAGAGGGTAGCCTTTTAAAAGGGTCTGTAGTTCTTTCAAGGAGACTCTAATACAGGTTTAACTGGGTCCATCCGAGAAAAGTTAGTTTTTTGACTCCTGTATTATAATTGCTATTAGTCGAGACACAAAATCCACCTGGCTGCAGAGTATTAAGTCGTTTTGTACATTCCTGTACTTTGGGGAGGGGCAGAGAAATTTGGGTGGGGGAGAGGTAAAGTATAACAGGAGGAAGGGTTAAGCAGCCTATTTACGTGCATGGATGTTACTGTTTAATGGTTTTTGTTTGGCGGATATTGTTATGTCTATAACAGTGTCTAGGCGGAGACGTGATTTGTCAGATCCCTTCATTTTCACTTTAGCAGAAAATGAGCTGGCTAAGAGGAGAGTCCTTGCAATCTGAAGGCACTGAGGCTGCTCTGTTTGTTATTCCACATGCATGGGCAAACAATGAGAATACAAGACAGATAACAGGCAGTTCTAGAGGTACTGGTCTTTGAAAAGCCCCTTCAGAAAGCATGTGTCCTACTGTCTGTGGGCTTTAGCATGTAGAGCACTTTTCGAGCTGTGCATTTTTCCCCCGTGCAGTTTAAAATAAATCCAACAGGGGCCGTGTTTGCTGAGCTGATTTGACCGGTTGATACAGATCCCAGTGGCGAGCCTCCCTGCTTATGTGGAAAAAAAGACTATTTTAAGTGTCATAATTAAGTTTAGAATCCTTGTTTGGGTTCATTCACGGCTGGAAATGAGAGAGACTGGCTGCTTCGAGGTCCTTTCTGGAGGGGACTGGCCCAACGCCTGCGCACGGTCAGCTGGAGAAGAATGTTTTCTAGTTTAATATTAGAAACTATATTTTTACTTGTTTAAACCGGATTTGATTATTCCTGTGGCGATCCCCCCCCCTTCTATCACTCAAATCTTTGTTCATTGTTCAGTGACTGTGGCAGGCTGCTTAAGTGTACAGAGACCGAGGGGGAGGCCCCCTTGCTGGTTTGATGTTGAAATAGTAAACCGGAATGAGGAGGGTGGCTGGAAAAGTGGACATTGGAGCTTTAATTAACTTCAGGATGCTTCAGCGAGGACCAGAGCATAGTAATGACGTTGCCTCATAAATTTGCCCAGTGCAGTGTGTTGCATTGAACTATTACAGTATCACCGTCATACTGAATATTCACTACCTAGCCGGAGCAGATTTCCATAATTGGACTTTTTTTTTAATGAAACTTGTTTGCCAAACCCAAGCCCAACCAAAAACCCAAGTGAAAACCGCGGCGATCTGCATGATTATAAAAGGTTCAAACCTATTCGAAAAGTAAGTGACCTGCCTAAGTACATCAATAGGTTAAGTGAAAATAAGACGAGAAATGCTTCTGAAAGCTGTACATTCCCTGTGTGGTCTCTTGGGTTGTTTCTCAATAGCGGGATTTTGTGTAGCCTGAGGGATTTTAGGTTGTCTGTCGACTTTCATAACTTTTCCCCTCATGCTTCTTACACAAGGTGAGGTTTTTGTGGAGTGTCTGTTTACCTGTATGATACTTTTTTTGGAGGGGTGAGTGGGGAAGGAGATAGACTGGCAGATAGATTAGCAGTTCTAGGGATCTGAGGTGTATAGTTACAGCTACTGTGGAAGCTAAATGTGTACTGCTTTTCATGAGTTCATCACTAAATTTCTCTGATTACTCAAAGGTCGTGTGTGTGTGTGTGTGTGTGTGTGTGTGTGTGTGTGTGTGTTTTAAAACACAGTTAACTAAGCTGTTAGTCTATAAATTACAGAGGTAAAGCCAGGGTCTTAATACCCTGCAGCACCCCACTTTTATATATAGTTCACTAATATAGAGTGAAAATTAGTAGAGTAATTAGAAATGCCAGAAAACTTAAAGTGTAGCTGTAAATTGTAAGTGACAGTCATCCCTCCTAAACTAGGTGACTGGTTTAATATTCATTCCAGTTTGAGGAACAGGGTCTAGAGTGCTTTTTTAAAATTGTGATCCTTATTTTGGAAATGCAATGAGATGAAGTTTTAAAATCAGGACATTTAAAAGCTTTACCTCTTAAAAGGAGAGTAGTGAGTTGGTCAGTATAAAGTAGTAAGAGTGCTAAGCCTGGGTATAGTTCATGTCTTACAACAGTGTTTCTCTTTCCTTCTTGCTGAAGGCTGTTTTAGTTATGATGTCATTCTGATAGTGGAGAGCAAATGTCTCCTGATTCTACCATTAAACGCCTGGCTGATTTGCCTGATAATGATAGCATTGACGTCCTGCTCCTTGACAAATGCAAGCCCTATGAGCCCTGTGAATTAACTTTTTCCCCACAGATGAGAGCTAGCTAGCTTTAGGACTAGTATTATGATGTAGCAGCTCTTCTTTGACAGATTACTCTGAACCCTCTTCATTTTTGCAACAAAAAATGCTCCCTAAATACCATTTATATTGTAACGCAGTTTGGGCCTGATTTTCAGAAATGATCAACCTGTAGTTCCCATTGACTTCAGACACATATGTGGGTGCTCAGGATCTCTGAAAATTAGTCCTCTGTATTCATTAGACAGCTAATCTTTTTTTTTAACTTTGACAACTGGAAGGCTTTTTGATTTGTAGTTGCAACAAGAACAGTTTGAGATACATATCTTCTATATTATCTATGTTCCTCTTTATGTTGCACTTGTTTTTTATTCAGATTACAATTGGTTGTATTTTTATTAACGATGTACAATTGGTTGTTTTTTTATTCATGTTACTGTTGGTTGTATTTTAATCTTTCAGAAATCATAAATTAATTACTTAGAAGTTCAAAGAACATCATAAACAGAAAACACTTCCAATTTGATAAACCACTTAAAATTAGTTTGTAAGAGAATATGTTCACTAATGTTTGAGATGTTCAGTAGTAGGAATCTTATTCCAGTTGATTCTTCCTTAAGCAGAGTACACTTACTGATGTTTGCTTTTTCTTCAGACCCTTAGATGTGACATTATGTTTATATTGCTGCAAGTGAATGGGATTTAATGTTTTATTTTAAAAATTAGCAAGGTATTTTTAATGTTCCTTTTCATTTACTGTTCAAATGATCATGAACTCAGTGTCTGTACTCGTGAAAAAGGTTAGTCTTCATCTTACATTTGCAGCAAATTTGTCAAACTCTTTCTATTTTAAAGCAATGTTTTGCAAAACAGTTCCTGAAGATAACAATTGTTATTACAGAAATGCTGTACTAAAATGATTTCAGTAAGTTTGCAGTGACTTTGTCTACTGCACTGAAGAAAAAGGTATTGTTCTACAGGCTTTCCTAACTTCTGAGAATACTTGAGTGAGATCTCTGATGTTCAGCAAGTTGTCTGGCATGGTTTTCATTGAAGACTTATATTATAAAGAGGCTGACTGTTAGATTTTTGTCCATGCTAGAGGCCAATAACCCAACCCATTCATGATCGGAGAAGAAAGTGAGTAGTCTGGAAGTTGCAGCATCAGTACCACTATTTAGCTTTCAGCAGTGAGGGCAATGCTGAGATAAAAAAATTGTGAACTTCAGAACAGAAAGCTGAAACTTTAGGTTATTCACCCACCATAGGGGCTGTAGGTAACCAGGGAAATTTACATGAGATCTATAAAATCCACCAGTCCATTGAAAGGAGCTATTCTTATTTCCCATAGTAGCACACAGTTTCCTCCAGTGTAAGAAAATCAGGATAGGTCATTTTTCCAAATATTTCTTTTTGCTTGAAGTTGGCTGTGAATTGCACAGGTGTCTTTGAATAAAAAAGGCATTTGCAAAGATTTATATGAACTTCATCAAAACATCCAAAAGAAACTAGTAAATGGATTTATTTATGAAGTCTGAATGAGGACAATTACAGCTTTTTAGCATCTACTGATTTAGCATGTTTTGGGAAAACATAAGTGCATTTCACTCTGCTTCTGAATTTCTCTCAGATTTCTGAATAGACCTATCTAATCTCTCCCTAATGCTAAAAACAGGATGGTGTTTGGAATGTCATTTTTTATTCCTCTATTCAAACTTTGTATCCTCTGTTTCATCCTTCATTTCCTCTTTGTGGGGGCATTATGTGCCTATGTATCATAGGTGCAAGTGGATTCAGGAGAGAAGGAAAATATAATATGTATTTCCCCTTTTCAATAAATATGAATACCCTTATTATTGGCAAGAAAATATGAAAATCCAAATTATTTCTAACAAATGCTTTTTGAAAACAGATGCTTACAGAGCAAGAAAAAAGAATGAAATACTGGGAAATACATGTATGTATGTAAAAGTAAAATAATTTTGAAACATTTAAGTGGATGATCCTAGGAGATGTTATCAAAATGTGTATTTCTAGGTTAAGGTTAGGTGAAGGGTCCAGGGAACTGCTAACAGAATACAGAACTTTTCACAACTAAATCACTAGTTAGAGTCTGACCTTGGTCAGAAGTGACTGAAAACAATTAAGATATGATGGATTTTTGGTGACCAACATAAGACGAATTGGTGGTGTCAGTCCATTTCTTAGCAGATCCTCAAAAACACATTGACGTTGTCACTCTTATTGCCAATTTCAGCAGTGAAGCTAAACAGTGAATGAACATGGAGATTTGGAGTACCCTTACACTCCTAGTAATGATCCATATTAGAGATAAAGCACACCTTTAAGGCAATGAGGAAAAATTTGCATGGCCCCTGCCCAGCTGAACTAGTTCTGTAACTAAACAGAGAAATCCTGAAACAGAGAACATGCTATACTCTGAATCTTTCATATATATTGAAATTCACTTAAAATTTCACATGCATCTTGTGGATTTGTTAGCTAACCAGATGTATCAAAAAAGAGAATTATGGTAGATTAATTGTAATTAACCTAGTAATATGTGCTTTTCATATCTATAGGATGGGCCCCCAAAAGTATTTTAAATTCACCATTTTTATAGGCCTTTATCTAAACACACTATTGAGATTGTTGTTAAAGAGCCCGGAGTCAAGAGGTCAAGTTGAACTAAATGAAAGACAAACAGTTTGTCATAACACCCCTATGGTTTAAACACAAATCAAGAAAACTGCATCAAAATAGCCACAGTAGCAGCAGGGTCTGATCCCCCTTCACACTATGCATTGCAGCATTTGCCCTTTGTCAGGCTTACATCAAAAAGCAGAATAAGAGGATTCTTCATAAATAGATTGTCAGATTTTTTTTTTTAAAGTCAACATTACCTGTTGTAGGAGGACTTTTGAATAGGGGCTGGAGTGCCTAATAATAATTAGGATAATTGTTCTCAGCACTTGCGCAGTGTTTTACATCTTGATAACATTGAACAAGCATCAGGGCTCACATTTTCAAAAGTGGCTGCTAATTTCTGGAACTTCAATTTAAGACATCTAACTTTAGATACTTGGGATTTTTAGAAGAACTGAGCGCCACAGATACTACTGGAATCAATGAGCATTTTGGGTGCTCAGCATCTCTGAAAATCAGTCACTAGGTCCTGGTCTACACTAAGGTGTTATTTCGAAATAACCCCCCTTATTTTGAAATAGTAAGTGGAGTGTTCACACTACGCAGCCTGTTATTTTAAAATAACAGGCTGGTTATTTCAAAATCTGTACTCCTGCTTTCCTTGGAGAATTGTGCTTATTTTGAAATTGTTATTTTGAAGTAGCGTTAGTGTAGACGCTCCAGTGCTGCTATTTCGAAATAACTACTCCCCAGAGTAATTCAAAGTAATAACTCCCCAATGCTTGCAGGGGCTCTAAGCTGAGGTAGCACATGCACAATATCAGAGCCTGCCTCGGACTAATTTTGAGGCTTCCTTGTAGT